TCTCGGCGAGTATCCCGCTCTGGTCATAGCTGGAGTACTTACTGCCAGCGACATGATATACCTCGTTGGACACAAAGCTCAACTATTCTTAGAACTGTCCATCTCTCATAGTCACGGGATGCTTGCGGTAAATGCAGATGCCGAGAGCCTACGCCATAGAATCTCCGGTACAGCAGTAGAGATTGCCTGTATCAATGCTCCGAAGATGACAGTGCTTGGCGGGCCGAGAGAAGCGCTAGATATTAGCACCAGTGAATTACAAGCTGAGGGTATTAGATGCACCAGAATTTCAGTCACCCACGCCTACCATACGGCGCAAGTTGACGCCATTTTGACTTCGTTTCGACATTTCGCGGAGCATCTCACCTACGCCCCTCCTCAATTGCCTGTGCTGTCTCCCCTGCTATGCCGCACGGTTGAGGTAGGCTCTGACGAATTCGACGCTGAGTATCTCTGCCGACAGGCCCGAGAAATAGTAAATTTTCAAGGTGCTTTATCCAGTATTCGAAACCAAAGTGAGTGGACTGGCAACGCTATATGGCTTGAAGTCGGTCCACATCCAACGTGTACCCGCTTTGTGCAACAGACTCTTGGTCCCGGAGTGTCTGTCGGTATATCACTGCGTCGAAATTCTGATTCATGGAAGACCATGTCAGAGAGCTTGTGCAGCCTGCACGACAGGGGCTTCGCTGTCGATTGGGAGCAGTACCATCACGGATTCGAGGGCTGCCACAATTTGATGGACTTGCCTGCCTATGCATGGGATCTGAAGAATTTCTGGATCGATTACAAGAATGACTGGAGTCTCACCAAGGGTGATGCACTCCAAGCCGCCAGGGACTCGGTCAAATTCACACCACCCCGGCTGGCAACCACAACAGTACAGAGGATCGTCGAGGAGAAGATCGAATCCGGAGTTGCGTCATTGGTCGCCGAGACTGCGTTTTCTGAACCGGATCTAGCGTATATTGCACTTGGCCATCGTGTCAATGGGGTTTCCCTGTGTCCCTCGTCGCTCTACGCTGACATGGCATTGACGGTTGCCAAGTATCTCTACCAGGAAATTCATCCAAATATGCCCGCTCCGGCTATGGACGTCTACGACATGCACGTCGACAAGCCCTTCATTCTCGACCAGAGGAATGACGTCTTATTCCGGATATCAGCTAAAGGGGACGAGCAACGTGCACAGCTCCAATTCTATACTGTCGATAAAAGAGACAGGTCAAAGCGTACTGATCACGCCTATTGCGAAGTCCGCTTCGATGAATTTAAGAAGTGGAGCGCAAAATGGGACCGAAAATCGTACCTAATCGAAGAGCGACTGGCTGCATTAGATGCTGCAGCAGCTGCTGGCAAAGCCCACCGCATTCAGCGTGGTCTAGTTTACAGGTTACTAAGTAGCTTTGTGGACTACGATGACCATTATCAAGGTATTGAAGAGCTAATATTGGATAGTTCGCGCTTTGAAGCCTCGGCAACAGTAGTGCTGAAGCCCACTGAACGTGGCTCTGTTTACGAAGTTCCTCCTACTTGGATCGATAGCTTCTGCCATCTGAGTGGAGTAATTCTCAATGCGAGCGACGCAGTAGACTCTAAGAAGTTTGTCTTCATCTCTCATGGATGGAAGTCCTTGCGTCTGCTAGGGGGGTTAAAGTCTGGTATCAGCTATCGCACGTATACGAGGATGCAGGAGAGCGACGAGAATATCATGGAAGGCGATGTGTGGATCTTCAACAGCAATAAGATCGTTGGGGTCGCGAAGGGCATCAAGTTCCAGCGCATCCCACGCAAAGTTGTCGACATCTTACTGCCAAAGCCAGGCTTGAATCTAGTTACCCCTGAGGCAGAACCACAATTCACGGCACACGTTCACAGCGATCAAGTCGCAAGGCCATATAGCCTGCCACCACTCACATTAAATACTTCCTCAGTACCGATATCTCGAATGGACCCATCGATTGTAGACTCTATCCTCAAGGTCATCTCATCAGAATGCAGTGTAGATATTGCTGACCTTGTTGACGGCTGTACGTTTGCTTCGCTGGGCATCGACTCGCTGCTGTCATTAGAGATTCTCGCAAAACTGCGTGAACTCCTAGAAATTAGCCTTCCACCCCACGTCTTCATCGAAAATGAGACAATGGGGGATTTAAAGGTCCAGCTACTGGAGCTGTTTGTTGGCTCTAGAAGCGGAGAGCACTCTGCTACACCACCAAGTAGCATCGGTAGCATGGGATCAACTCCAACACACGGTAGCCTTTCTAGCCCCAGGGCCGTCTCATTTCTCCTGTCGGGCAATCTTAAGACCGCTACCAAATACCTCTTCCTCTTCCCTGATGGCTCCGGCTCAGCAACATCTTACACAAGCTTGTCGCCGTTGGGGTCCGACGTGGCTGTGCTCGCGCTGAACTGCCCTTTCATGACAACGCCATCATCATGGCAAAATGGCATCAACACAGTAATGAAGTACTACCTTGACGAGATCCGCCAGCGGCAGCCCAATGGCCCGTACAATCTTGGTGGGTGGTCTGCAGGGGGGGTTCTCGCCTACGAAGCAGCATACCAGATCCAGCAAGGAGGGGACAGGGTCGAACGCCTTATTCTAATTGATTCACCTTGTCCAGTAAGACTACCACCGATGCCAAACAAGATGTTTGACTTCTTCGACTCGATTGGACTCCTAGGACGTGAAAACCTCGCGGGCACACCAAGCTGGGTCATTCCACATTTTGCAGCTACAGTGCGCAATCTCCAGATGTACTTGCCCTTACCAATATCACCAGGTCAGGAGCCTGCAACGACAGCAATATGGGCTCGGCGTGGTGTGACTTTTGCAAGCGGTGGCAGGCGTCCGGAAAGGGAGCCTGAAGACCCGATGGTCATGGAGTGGCTGCTAGAGGATCGCACCGACTTTCAATACAACGGTTGGGATTCGCTAATTGCAGCAAGCGCAATCAGATGTGAGGTGATGGATGGTCACCATTTCTCTATGATCAATGAGCATGTACGTTTCGTATGAATCGAATATTGCACAGGATACCTACTGACTCTCCCCTAGGTGAATGAGCTTGGTCGATTGATGGCGAAAGCAATGTGTTGAGAGTCGCTACGTCAGTGTTCTGGGAGTTAGGAGCAGAAATAACTAGCCACTATACCGCTATACTTATAGATGGTCTCTAGTTCCAAATATAACCTCAAACAACCTATATAAAGAGAGTACGACCTCCTACAGCTACCCTAAACCCCATGGGCTTATACTATATCTATTTCTGACAGTGTTCATCTGTATACTTGATATTAAGTTTGCCGCAGCATTTAAAGCTGTACTGGGTTTGGAGACCGTTACAAGTAGATAGTGCGGATACGTAGCACCAAGGGATTCTGTAGAAGAGATGAGCTGTCTAGTAATTCTTCGGGCTACGCTGGCTATTGGGCACTCTTGCTCTGTAGTGGCTATAGAAAGTCTCGAATTTCGTGCTCGAAATATTCGAATCTTTCGGTAGGGTTTTGTTGTCGCCGTCCTCCCAGGCCCCAGGTATGGCACGTTCTGGGTGGTCAACCATGTTCCAGAAATCCATAAATAGGCAGGGAAAATTATCGCCCATGCACAATTTCCAATCTTCCAGCTGAAGCCTGTGACTGAAACTGAGCAAACGTACATGAACAATTCTAAAGAAATTCGGCCGCCTTATTCGTTCCCAAGCATATGCTCTCAGCTCGCTTGTAACAGCTTTGATTGCATGTATTCTGATATTTTAGGAGCGGTCTATTCATGAATCCTGCATCGTTGAAATTTGCTAAGCCTTAGTTCGATCTCTGGAACAGCTTGACTTGCAAAAAAAAATTCTTATAGAACACTTATTCTTCTCGGATGGATGTACGAACCTTTCTAAAAACTTAACTTGGTGGCGATGGTCACCTGAGCATTCATCGAGGCCGTCCAAAAACGATACAATATAGCCAGTGATAGCCTCTTGATTCATGACCAAGGAAAAAGATTTTTCAAGGTCGTTTCGTCAAAGTGAACCTTATCACGCTACTTGAGCGCTCGTGTTTATTATTCGCAGGATGATGCACCCTCTTTGAAAAAGTCTCGGCCTCCAAAGCATACGATAGAGGACTTAGAGATATTGATCCCTGCCGCTATTTTAATCGATCAAGGCCCTGGTGATGGAAAAGGATTATTCATCTTTCTGCGCAATCATGCGTCGTACTCGACGATGTCTGCATTAATATGCCCGGCTTGCCTCTATCTTCGTCTTTACGTTCAAAAGCGCCGGTTCCAATAGTGCTCTGTTCTTAAACACATCTGGATGATCCCTCAGGAATTGCGTTGCAACAAGCACCTCAATGAGCACGGTGGAGCATTCTCAGACGTGATATAGAACCAGCAAGGCCCTTGTTACCGCCGTTTCCAAGCCAAGCAGCTTCGGTCCGCCGGTCAGAGGCGAAGCTTCCCATCGAAGTCGCGTGTTCAATTGTTGTAGTCGGATATAAAGTCAAGTTGCAGAGTCTGGCAATCCTTGGAGATATGAAATTAACCCCGCAAGCAGAGTCCTCGATCACACTTACATCCTCTACCTTGGCGCTTGTTGGATTGTGTATCGACGCAGCCTCATACTAAATATCGCCTGAATTGAGGTCAGATTTCCCCATTCTCTAGTGAGACAAGACTTAGTTCGACATCGTCAATCGACACAATCTTGGAATCAGTCTTATAGAAGCTTCGGGAAAATTCGATGGCTCCACTCCGCAACTCTGCATGTTTCTCTATCGGTCATAACGGTCCTGTCTCAGTGATCGGGCTACATTAGTGAAGCAATCAGCCAGAGCGATAATTCTCTTTCTCTGTAGTCTTTGTTCTTCAAATTCCCCTATTTTTTTCTGCGGTGAATTCGCTCTATCTGAAACTTCCGGCCTGTTGTGTGTTTATGATAATGTATAACTATCGAAATAAGCCTGTCACCGATAAAAATGGCTGGGATCCCAGCCAATCATCTTTCATGGTCTAACGGTCATGATTTCCGCTTGTCACCATACATGACTATGCGCGGGAGATCGGGGTTCGACTCCCCGTGAGAGAGATATCTCTTGAGTTCATGACCCTGAGTGCAGGCTCAGATCCCATTTTCGTGATATTTTTATCATTTTTATTTTTTACATTTGGCTTTCGGGTTTCGGTTTTTGGTGTATTTTTTGAGCGAGGCATTCTCGGTAACGCTGCTATTTCACTTATTGAGGGCGAGGTAATTGACTGTATTAAGGTAGACACTGGTATTTAGGTAGTTTTAATATATTGGTAGTGCTCAGCATTAAAGGTACATGCGATCGCGCGGGTTATAGCTTGGGGGGTGTCATGAAAAGGTCCGACCGTGTATCAGCCTTAAGTATAAACTTTTTAGAAATTTTTATTAACGTGCATGTATAGCGAGCCGACCAGACAAGTGAGTCGACCACTTGATTTTACCACAAAAATCGCAAAACTGTACCCTTGCATTTTTTACCACTATACATTACTGCCACTTAAAAAATTTAATAGGATGCATTATATATATAGTCAATTAAGTTTTTAAATTTCAAGATACTACAACTAGTGGTTGTTGAGATCTAGAGTTTTGGGGGCCAAATTTAGATAGCAGCCTTAGATCTTAACAACCATCAGTTGCAGTATCTTATAATTTTGAAATATTACTTCTCTCTATATATAATACCTACCATTAAATTTCTAAGTAATAATAAAGTGCAGTGGTTGAAAATGCAAGGGTACAGTTTTGCGATTTTTGTGGTAAAATCAAGTGGTCGACTCACTTGTCTGGTCGGCTCGCTATACATGCACGTTAATTGTTTTAAACCCTACTAGTCTTCTGCCTTTAAGATCCATTCTAGTTTAGCCTCTCTTGCCCTTAGTAGGCTGCAGGAGCCTCTTTATATCGTTAATTTAGGGCTGGTTTGGCTTTAAACGGCTACTAGGATATGTACTGTACATTACTGGAACCAAGATGGAGAGGTTAAAAATCACGATTTTCACGGTAAATGCAAATTTGCATATTGCTAGTCAGCTAGGTTACTTAACCGAACGACTAGCGTCACAGCAGTCTCAAATGGCACTCTAGCTTGCCGGAGTTCATCGCTAGGGTCTCCTTAGATCGACAAGACGTGGTGAAAGAGGCGCAGAACGATTTGTATCGCAGTATACGCTAGTCCAGATTAAGCATTTAATAGTGGCCCACTTTTAACACAAACTCAACCTATAACGGGGTGATATTCAACTCGATAGATCATGCTTATCGCATATATTCAGCTTATACAGCACTCTCAGTCAGATATTCAGCTGGATAAGTCACACCTGACTTGATATCCCGCTCGAATAGTTACACATGTCCCTGATATTTAGTCTGATTAGTTCTAAATATCTAATTATTTTAATTTGATTGTTTGAATCTTGCTCTAACTAGTTAAAGAGCCATGTAGTAACCCTATTGTCTTGTCCCTAGGAAAACTACTTAATAGAATAAAACCTAGGTTCCGTCTTGCCCATTGACTCTATAGTCCCTCGCTGCCTACTAATGCACCCCGATTTTCTACTGGAATTATTCGTACGATAAGGCCATGGCAACACGGAACTGACTTAGTCGGCCTGATTGTACGATCCAACGTGCAGCTACTCCTGCCCCCTCTGGAGTATTGAACAGCCGTACGACATCGATCCCTCCTCCACACATCGTAGAGAGGCTCTATCTTCTGCCCTCCTCAGGCCAGTGGCGGAGCACGTGGTATCAGGCCTCCTCCTGACTGCATTGGCAAACAGAGGACTTGAACTCTGGCACCCCGATCCAGTACAGAAAGCTTGCTAGTCCTGTACGGATTAATTTAGCTTATATTAAGGTGTAGGGATGATTTCAGAGTATAATAAAAAATCGTGAAAGTTTTTTTTTAGCCTCCTTTTTAGTTTTTGTAAGTACAAGTTTAAAGTAAACTTAGTGGCAGTATATAGTAAAAGGCTTAGTATACTTATTAAATTTAATGAAATTGATATATCCAAATCCTTACGCTAAACTAGCCTGATATATAATAGTACTATGCAATTAAAAACGCCTTGAGTGCCTCTTACGCCAAACCCATGCCTCATCCTACTAGTTCATAACGTTGCTGTGGACTCATCCTGAGTTCTGTTCGAGGTGACGGCGTTCCATGAAGCTCGGGCTTGAAATATTCTTTTAGCTTAGGGCCGTCCTGTGGAAGCTCAGAGTAAGTGTTGGTAGAAACTGTTCCTGTCAACGGATCGAGAGTGTCGCCTGGGGGACCTTCTTTTTGCAGCCATTGCAGAGCAGTGCCAGCATTGTTGGCTTTGGCGGTGTCGCGACGACGGCGATAGAAGATAAATGCAGCAACAGCAACTATCGCAACTACAGCTACGGCGCCAATAGCTATTCCGGCAATGGGCCCGGCCGAGAGTGCGGCCTTTTTACCGCTTGCTGAGCTAGGAGGCGTTGTTTCCTGTGGTGTAGAGGAGGGTGTGGTTGCTGCATCCGTACAGAAGTCGGTGACCTCCGTACCGTTCGTGCTTACGGCGACTAAGTCCACAGCACTGGTCGGGTTGGACGACCAAAGGGTGAACTGGTTTGCATCTTGATTCATCATGATGTAAGCGGAAGAAAGGAATTGCCTGCCTAGCTTTGGGAGGTCATTGGCGTTAAGGCTCTGCACTGGATTGATGACCAAGTTCCTAGCAGAACTGTTCGCCTCCAGCGCCCCGCTGTCCTGATTGATGGACCGTTCCGAAACGACAAGTTGGTTATTGGGGATGCGGATGGAGGGACCGGACTGAATATTGAAAGTCAAGTCACCTTGGTAGGGCTGATCACCTTCCCCGTAGAGCATACTGAAATATGCTAGACCAAATGAACGGTCGGTGATGGAGGTGTTGGTAAGGATTTGGAATGTATTGAAGTAAGGATCAAGAGCAATCGTCATGAGAACGGGGTAATCCGGTAGTATGCATGCCGCAATGGATTCCGAGGGATTTGTAAACAGACTGGTAGTGGTGCCGTTGGGGAAGTTAAGGATCATGTCTTCGATAGTTACCATAAGCTGCGAATCGCAGGCTGGATTTGCTGTCGTTGCGAAAGTGTAGCCCTGGCCGGTTACCTTTGCGCGATCGTACCCTCCAAACACGAAGGTCCCATCCAGCTGGCTGTTTGAATCATCACCCGTCCAGCCGTAAAACATGCTCCACGTACGTGAGACGATGTTCTTGGCCGAGACTAGTGCACTGAGAATCGTCGAGTTCTGCCCCAGACCAATAGCCATCATAGGATAATATCCCTGCTCGCCCCAGTCTGCAAGTGGAATGCCCATGTCAAGCTGCGACAGGCTAATATTCTGGTTCAGCACCATAGTATCTGTAACATAGTCCCTGTTGGGATATTGGCTGGCGTCGGAGGGGTAGGAACCGGAACCCGCTTGCTGTCTTGTGGTTGAGGCAACCTTGTTGTATTGTCCACCACGCCAGGTTGTGCAGCCAACTTCAGTAGACGGCGCTGGCGATGTGCAGTATCCATCTGTCCCATAAACCATGACGTTGTTTAACGGCCTGGTAGATATTGTCAGCCGAGTTGCTATCGAGAGGAGATAGTAGTGTCTGAGGCGGCGAGGAGAGAACCACTGCAGTAGAAAGAATCCTCTTACCACTGAGGAAGGAAGGCAAAATCTTGCTCGGGAGTTCCGACAGAATATGAAATGCCTCGTGCGGTTTGGCCATTGGAGAGGGTGACATTGCCTATCTTTGCAGCGATCGGATATGGCACGCAGTCTGCAAAGGCGAGCTTGAACGCCTGACAAGCCAGTAGCAGCGGTGCTACGGCCTGCTTCTTGAACCTGTAACTGTGAGGGAAGCCCATTCGGCTAGTTTGTGAATACTTAACACAACTCAGTCGCAAGACACCAGGAGAGGTGGTATTCCATACAGTAAGTTGTGTCTGTCTCTGTTGTGAAGTTGGGAAAAGTGAAAATTGGTGCGTGAGGCATGATCAGGGGCATTTTACCAAGAGAGGCCAGGAATCAGTCGGCCGTGTTGGTTTTGTTGGTTTTGTTGGAATCCTTCCAGGGCTTGCATCAGATCTTCATCCACCAATCTCTACCCTTTGCGGGAGATTAGCAAATGGCATTCCCTTTGGCGCGCGGGCGCGCGGGCGCGCGCGGACTGGGGCGTTACGCTTGTACAAGATTAGTTACATATGATTAGTTGATATGAGAGGGACCCCTGGCGTTACAGCAAAGCCAACTGTGTTTAAAATGCCCATCACTACGCGCTTTGGACGAGTCTTTGTTCGAAATGCGACCTAGGGGCAGGACCCGCCGGGTTCACTGCAGCCAACCTAACCATAACACGCAGGCGACAAGAGAATAAGAGGCAGTGCAGGAGGGATTTGCTCAAAAATGAAGCGCTCCGTCGGGAATCGGAGGGCCTGCCGCGGAGCACCAGCCCCAAACGGGTAACCAGCGGAGGATCGTCCAACCATATCACAAAGGTTGCGGGAGCGCGAAATGCCAGGTGGGATTTCAATGATTCTTCTGCCCGAAAAGTGGTACCCAGTATGACAGCGAACCCTCTCCAGCTAAATATTTTATGTGTATTTTCGTATAGTCAGTGTTTGTGCTGAAACCCGAAGTCCTGTGCGCAAAAGGCTCTTCCTCTCCAGCCGGTTTATCCGTGCAGGCAGCCTTGCGCTAATTTTGGACTTCCAACAACGCGCAGTCGTGAGGCGTCTTGCCACATTCATCATCGCCATCATTCATCTCCATCTCCCCATCCCGCTAGACTCTCGATGAGTCAAGCAGTGAGCCTGTCATTCTGATGGTGCTGCTAAAGGTCTTTCACCAGAAGCGCATCAGGGCACTGGGATTACTAATCTGCGCCATTGTCTTAGCTCTGATGCTCCTTTATCCAGTCTCCCGACTGTACCTTTCACACCAAATCTCAAAATTACCTATACCTTGGCCGCTGTTGCCATCGTCACCGTCATCACCGTTGTCGCCAGCTGTAAACCGCCAACCGTTCGACCTCCCTCCAGAATACAGCTTC